CAGGTATTTTGGGGAAATATTCTTATGAAAATGTTGCCAACTTATTACTCCCATTATTACGTTTCTCTTTGCCCCAAGAACACATTAATATGCAAATTAGATGCAATCTATAGATACATTGAATAGAATGGGAAAACCAATGTATGGATATTTTATGCACATACTGCATTAAGTACAGTAGTATATCAAATCATTCTGTTACATCTTTCATAACATGAGAATCATCTTTGTACAAAGTTTGGCTAAAAAATAGTCTCAAACATAAAAACTGATTGGTGAATGAAAAAATAAAACATTGTTTTTGCCTACGCATGTCTTTTCATGTCTATTTATTTTTTTGAATAACAGTAAAATATGAATAAAATATTTTTTTTTTCGCAAATGTTTTTTCTCCATTTGTTTCTTATGCTCCAACCAATGTAATGACATAAAAGCAACCACATTCACAAAACATTTTTCTGGTTCTCAGGAGGTTATGAATTTAAATGTTGCAGTTATGACATTCTAAGTCAAAATATGTCATAATTGACAAAATGTCAAAATAATGACAATTTCAAAAAGTTGAAATTAAGACTTTAAGTCAAAATTATGACGTAGTAAATTTGAAATTACAGATAAAAAGGCTAAATGATTTCTAATCTAATAAATACAACGTTATGACTTTGTAAATCATAATTTCGACTTTTTTCTCATAATCTCGATTAGTATCCTACGTCATAATTTAGATTTTTGATCCCATAATTATGATTTAGTATGTCATATTTTCGAATTTCTATGCATTGCTTCTAATTTTTAAGCCACAATTTCGGCTTTTCATCTCATAATTATGACCTGCCAAACCATGATTCTCAGAAGAATCAAGTGTCTAAAGGATGGATATTCTTTACAGTTTTGAGGAATGCGTTTTTCTTTTGAGAGCTGGATCGATTATTTGAGGTTTGTAGCGAACAGGAGTTTTAGTGTGTCAGCTTCTTCCTCATTCCTCATCATCTTCATCCTCCTGAAGCGCTTCACACTCACGTGACGCTGTTAATGCGTTCTTCTCTGTAGATGTGCTGTGATGCTGAGAGAGAGTCAGGACCGTCTGAGACATTCCTGTCTGTCAGCGCCAATCAGAGACGCGGAAGAGTTCAATTAAAGGGAACGCGTTCGCTTTCTGCGGCTGAAGATCCTCCGCTCCGCTGCACGAGACTCTTCAGCTCTGAGCTCGCGCTGCTTTGCTTTTATGTTGTGACCGCAGGTGAGTGAGATTTTGCGTGCTTTATGAGAAGATCGGCATTGAAATGTAACGCTGTTCTCTTCGGTGTACCTTTGTTAAATCCGAAACGAGTGTTTTCGTTTGTTCTTGCACTGAAGTGTGTGTGTGTGTGTGTGTGTGTGTGTGTGTGTGTGTGAACTGATGACGCTGTTCATTTGTTAGTCGCTTCTGATACAGGCGTCTGCTAAATTAATGAATGTAGGTTTGTGATGTTGTGTGATTAATTCTGTGTGTGTGTGTGTGTGTGTGTGTGTGTGTCAGCTGAGAGGATGCAGGTTCGAGTGCTGCTGGTCCTGATACTGACATCAGTATTAATCACACGAGCTCAAGGTACGACTGTCTGCTTTCTGTTCTGTGTACTGATGTTTATCATTCATTATATCACTCTTTTGTGTTTTCTGTTGTTGTGATGTTCTGTCTATCATTCCATCCTCATATCGCTTTCACTTGTTTTATTTTAGGTCATCTGTTTGACCAATAACAATTTTTTTCCAGATCGAAAGGGAATCTTGTAAGGTTTTCTGTATTTGTTTAGCAGATCTTGTGTTCCCTCTCACTGCTTAAACCGGTTAAACATCGCTTCATCTGGAAAGCGTCTGCTGTGTGCAAACATCTGATACACGTCTCTAAGATGTCAGTTTTATATGCATTCTGAATCATAAACATCTTAAAGACATCTTCTAAACGTGTATTTGACATCTGATAGGAACCGTCCTGTACACGTATTGCAGATGAAATAGACGTCTCCGTGATGCACGTGTGCTGTCAGGGAAGGGATAGTTCACCTAAAAATAAAAAACCCTGTCATCATTTACTTTCAATTTATTGCTGTATGAGTCTGCTGAACATGAAATAAGATATTTTGAAGTATGTGTTTAGCCAAAAAGTTGACGGTAGCCATAGCACTATATAAGTCAACTGTTTAGTTACAACATTCTTCAGAATGCATTATTTCATGTTCAGCAGAAGGTCTGGGTGAGTAAACGATGAACTGTTCCTTTAACAAAATAATACGTGGCTGGGCTTGTTGGAAGCGCCGTGGATCTTGTGGCGGGAGCGACTTCTACATTTAGATCCTTTTATGATCCCGTAAAACATGTTTATGTGGCTGTTTTGAGAAGCTTTAGTGTAGCGGAGAGCTCTCAGAAACGCTGCTGTCAGGAGCTGATCTCCTGGAGTTCATCCAGCAGACACGTTCAGATCTGTTACTCAAATACCTGCCATCCGCCGCGCCTCAGGTGTCTGCAGCACACACACAGAGCCCTTTACACTGTTACTGCAACAGCCAGAGCTATAACTGCACACCTATAATAACCAGCCCACACTACAACTACAACAGCAGCTGCTGAGTGATAAATACCATGACAGCCAATCAGAATCCATTCTGCTTTAAAGAGCTCGAGCAGGAAAGCGGCAGGCCATGTTTAGATTGAACACTGGTGTGGACGCTAATATAGTTACAGCTGATATTATAGTCATTGCTCCTGGTGTGAGAGGAGTTCACTTCCAGAATAAACATCTCCTGATCATTTACTCTCCACCATGTCATCCGAGATGTTCAAAGTCCAGTCTGGAAGCCCAGCTAGTGCAAGAGCAGCATCTGTGGTTAAAAACTATATAAATGTTTATTTATTTAAAGAAAATGAGCGATGGTTTCTTTAGATGAAACTCTTATTCCTCGGCTGGGATCCTGTAGAGCTCTTTGAAGCTGCTCTGAAACTGTGATTTGGTCTCCGTTGAAGTCCATTATATGGAGAAAAATCCTGGAACGTTTTCCTCAAAAACCTTCATTTCTTTGCGACTGAAGACAGAAAGATGTGAACATCTCGGATGTGAGTAAATGATCAGGAGATTTTAATTCTGGAGGTGAACCAATCCTTTAACCATCGTTTGATAATGTAGAAAACTAAACTAACAACAGCCTCGATGCATTTGGTAAACTTTAGTTTCAGTCTGTGTGCGTGATTGATTAAACGAAGACTCGTGAGTCATTTAATCAGTGGCTCAGACTGCTCTGGTCGTGCTGCATGTTTGTTTTTAACTACAGTCAGTAAAATACGTTTTGCTTTAACTGAAATTGTCATCATATTTGGTTCAGAATGCAGCCTCTGACATCAAAGCTGTAGATCCTGTAGTTTAATACAGAGGCAGCATAAACCGAATCGTGATAAACGTGTCAGAGAAAAGAGCAAATTGTGACACATTACTGTAACATGGTTTCTTTCTGTTTTTAAGTTTGAGTTTGGGATTTAATTGTGTTAACGGTACAATACAGCAATGAAAATGGGCTTTATTTTGGTTATGCATTAAATATTTTTAGTTTAGCTTTCCTTTTTGAGCCGGACATGATCCTGCCAGGTGTTTGAGAGGTTTATCCGCTGGCAGTATAAAGCTCATTTGTTTCAAACACACACAAACTCTGACTGGACACGAGCCGGGACGTTTACCCGAGGAGAGAGCTGCATTCAGGTTGGTGCTCTTCACAGTGTTTTATCTTCTGCCTGCTGCATCCGCTCTGAAGAGGAATCACGTCTGCTGACGGAGACACAAACCCGGGTTTGTGGACTAGTGCACGGCGTTTAGTGTTGAGAGGAATGCCTGCGCGGGCTGGAGAGAGATGAGCATGTGTTGGGCTGTCTGTGCATAAACACCCTTCACACGTCCTCACAAATACACACTTCCTTTGGATTGTTCCCAAAAGTCTCACTCTCTTCTCATTATTCTGTCTCTCCACAAAGCCAAGCATCCAATCTTGCATGTCAGTGTTGCAGATACAAGGACAAAGTCAGACTTTGTTTAGTGGAAACACCGTGTCCTAACCAGGTCTGATGCAGCAAGCTTTCAGACGCTAAACTACTAACTAACTAAACTACCGCTGTGCGACTTGACCAGTGCTGGTAACTAATTATATGTAATCCGGAAGTAATCAGAGTCCAAAAATAAAGTACTTCTTATTATGTTTTAAAATGCTCACAATCAGATTACAGTTACTTTTTTATTGAGTGCATGTTATTCTTACATTGACAGTAAAGTGTTCATAAATTATGTTTCACTTATTCATTCTTTTCTGTCTTTTTGGAGCCTGACGCTTTTAGAAGTTCATAAAGTTACGTTTAAGTTTGGAGGGGTTTGAATTGCTTAATTCTGATGAACACATTTTAATCATTTAATCATTAACCGTCTATCACTGCCTCGGAAAGGCTTTTGTCTTTCTAACACATTAAAACGCACGTCATTTTGTTTTTAATGCAGAGTTCCCGAACTGTTTTTGTCAGCAGAACTTCTTTTTCTGAACAGTTTTCTGATGTCACATCATTTAGTGATTTATTTTTATGTTGAAGTGTTTTAGATGTTTTAATTTGATATTTTATGATTTAAATATTGAACTATTGGCTTTATCAACTTAAAAGCCTCCTGCCGTTCCTTCACAAACCTGATGCAATGTAACGCTTAATGCACTTCATCATGCAATACTTTCCTTCTCTTTGTATTTTTATATCAGTATTGTAGAAGATCACCCTATTCAAATCAATGTGATAAACCAGTAATCAGAAAGTAGTCAGATTACATTACCTAAAATGTGTAATGTTTCTGATTGAAGGTAATGTGAATGTAATCTGACCAGCACTGGACGGGACATGATTTCACCGTTACACTTCAATATTTGATTGATTCAAGTCATTCTCATTTGTAAGTTGCAACAAAATGACGAGTGACTTGAAACAAACCAAAAGAGCGCGAGAGCTTTGTGTGGTCATGTTTGGTTAGGACTCGGCGTGGCTTCCTCTCGTTCCATCTGTTTGACGCTCAGACACAGATGAAGACTCTCGTGTTCAGATCTAATTAACCTCCGTCTGCTGGGCAAACAGCAGCTGATCTGGAGTAGCGGTGCGTTTGCTCAGCAGATGCTGGCTGTGATTAGATCAACAGAGCAACTGTACATCCTAATTAAAGGTGATCTTTCTGAGGGATGTTCTTGTTTCCGCTGTGCCGCAGTGCCGATGCCCAGAAGGCTGCGTTTTAAAGAGCTGAGCTCCAACACGCTCGGCGTGACCTGGAAGGAGCCGAAGGGAGCGTTCGACAGCTATAGACTCCTGTACAGCACTGACTCAGGTGAGACGTCTCGGCTTTTCCCACCTCTTGTGATTTGTGATCATCGGACAGCAGCACAGAATGCTGGGAAGGGGAATCCGTCCGTACAGGGCCTGTACATGCCATTCACTCAGTGTATGAAGTTCTGTCAGACCTGACTAATGATTGCGCTGTGAACTAAAGAGCAATCTTCTAGACTTAAACTGAAAGAGTGTGTCAGAGCGAAGATGGCTAGATGGTTGTTGACTGTTTTTTAAAGTAATAGTTCCCCCAGAAATAAACATTTCCTGAGTATATACTCAACTTCAGGCCATCCGAGATGTTTCTGCAGGCGAAGAGAAAATAAGGTTTTGGAGGAAAACATTCACTTCTAGTCTAATGCGGAGATGCTCAAATGTTTTAATATGAAGAGCCAAAAACACAACTTGATTGAGGGCCATCGGCCAAAAGTAAATGTTGCATTACATCAAACTATATTAAAATTAATTTTAAAAATCATAAAAATATATATTTTTTTAAATGATTTTAAATCTAATTTAATTATGTTGCTTTTTACATTTCAATGCAAAAATTAAAAATGAAATGAAAAAAAGTGTTAAAAATATCAAATTTTGCTGTTTTTATTTTATTTTTTATATTGTGATATGGCATGGCGGGCCGAATCAAAGGTCCCACGGGCCCTAGTGATCAATGCAGACCGTTTTTGAGAGTCCAAAATCCATATTAAGGCAGCTTCAAATAAGGGTCTTCTCTAGCAAAATAATCAGTCATTTTCAGAAAAAGAAAAAGACTGATGCCTTGGTCCAGCTCAGTTTAATTCATGACCTCTCATGTACGCAGCGCCAAGAAACTCTTCTACATCTCAGAAGGCCTGGGGTCGAGTGAATAATCAGGAAACTTTCACTGTTGGGTGAACTATTCCTCCAGCTTTACTGTAACTTTACTCTATTCCTCTAATATTTTTACTGGAAACTTCTCAGTTCTGAAATAACCCGCCTGCAGCATGACGTTCAGCTGCTCTCACTGCTCTGTCATTATGCATCGCTATAAAACATATCCAGTCAGTTACTCGATTAAAAGGACAGCACATTCTAGTGTTAGTGGGGTTTTTAGTTGTTGCAGATGATCGCTGTGTGGCTTCTCCTGTCCTGATCGGTGTCTAGTGAACGTGACCCTAAACCACCCCAATCATACAGGCTCTCTTTAACTAACTAGTCAAACTAGTCTAGTAGTTCAGACAACCCATGACAAGTTAGCTTTGAAAATATGTCATTCTGAACGAGCTGTTCTGTTGTTGAGAGCCTCACATCACCTTCAGCTCTATTGCTTTCTAGATACATATGAAATTCACTAGTTGGGTCGTCTGAACTATAAGTGAGTCTTAAAGGGATAGTTCACCTAAAAATGGGTGAGAAAGTCTCGTTCTGTCTCACATCTCAGCGTGTGTCTTTTGTTCATCAGGAGACGAGCGTGAGCTGATATTGAGTAGATCTGAGCCCAAAGCCGTCATCGCTGGGTTTGACCGCAGGAAAGAGTACAGCGTGAAGATCACAGCCGTCAGAGGAGCTGCGCAGAGTAAAGCCCTGCTGGGCAGATTCACTGGTGAGCAGCGCCCGTCTGAACACATGACTGAGATGTGTTTGTTAGATGTGAGAAACGCCACAGATATGGTCTCCTCTGACTGCCGCTGTGCTTCTGTCAGGATGGGGATCGGGGTCAGAGGTGAGTGACGTCAGCGAGCCGCTCGGTCAGCAGGACACCAGCGCAGACCCGCAGGACAATGAGATCAGAGAAGGTGAGGTGAAACTAAACATCAGTCCTGAGCTTCATCTGGAGACCCCAAGCAGAAGATACGACTGAAGCGCCACTCTCAGAGCACTAAATCACAGTCAGTCTTTCTGATATATCAGATATATAATAATAATAGTATCAGTGAGACATACTCTTACTAAAGCTCGGCTGACACAGTATTACTCTGCTCTATAATGTGAGAGTGCACATTTGCATTCATTCGTCCAGCTCTCATCGGAATCAGTGACAGCACAAGCGATGTGTCATAAGAGCATATTCATAGCACATAGAGGGTTAATGCTGATGGGAGGTTAATGGAGAGAAATGCTAGTGTCATTGCTTGCTTTACGAAGCGCTGAGGAAAAGAGGAAGTGAAGAGAAAGTAGAAATGAATGCCTTATAAAGGTCTTAAATCAGAGCAGAAGTCTTGAATTCATAGTCATGGCATTAAATGTTGCATGCACTGCAAACAAAATTATATGTTCCTCAGTATCTTTGTCTTGTTTTCCAATAGAAATATCTAAACATTCCTAAATCAATATACAATATGTTTACTTGAGATGCAAAATGTGGAAGAACGAAATCAAGTGAGTTTATGCTTAAAGCAAGAACTAATATCTGCCAGTGGATAGTGAAAACTTGTTTCTCCTTCTGCAAAACAAGACAAAAATACTGAGGAAGAACATGACTTTTGCAGTGTGATCAGAAGCTTCAGTAAAAGTAAAAGAAGCGGCTATTGTGTCTAAAATGTAAGTCACTTAATTTTAACCTCTTGTTTATTGAAATGCTATTGTATGAAATCACATTGCAATCGTGCTGATATTCAGGGAAACAGTATGCATCTATAACTTTCTGTGAGTGCTGTTGTGTTGATTTGTTTTGAGTTCTGTACGAGTCTCTCTCTCACTCACACAGGCCTCATCTGGCACGACAAACATCATCAGTCGCCCTTTACAGTCAATGCAATAAAATCAGAATCGCTCTCGCCCGGAAATGTTTGGTGGCCAAGTTTCAGTGCTTCCCTGGTTATTTTCGTTATTGAAGTTTTAAACAAGCTAAAAAAAAATTCTCTCTCACTTGCCCCTTTAAAATAACTTCTTGTCGGTTGCATCTCTAGTTTCCTTCAATTTATTCCTTCAATTTTCTTTACTTGGTCTTAAAAAGGTCTTAAATTTACTTTCATAAAACCTGCAGAAACTCTGTGTTACGTCCTCTCGTGACAGACGGGCAGCTGCTGGTTTTTGAACCAAGCGATGCAGACGCTATCAAATTAACTCAAATATATTTATATAGTGCTTTTCAGAGCAGCTTTACAGAAAGTCATGATGTTAACTCTTATAATGACTTAACATCTTCATGCATTATAGTCACATTTATCAGATTAGAGCTGGGTGATGACAAAATTCTCTCACAATTTTGGTGGAAAAGATGGAAACGATATGGATTTGACAGAATTTCATTAAAAGATAGGATTACTTGTTCATTCTTCATGTAAAAGCATTCATCTTTCAAATTCTTCTACTCTATTGTGTAAGCACCTTTGCGTTATTTTTATTGTGGAAGAACAGTTGCGCTATTTTTATTGTGGAAGCACAGTTGCGTTATTTTATTGTGGATGCACAGTTGCGCTATTTTGATTGTGGATGCACAGTTGCGTTGTTTTTATTGTGGAAGCACAGTTGCATTTGCGTTATTTTTATTGTGGAAGCACAGTTGCGCTATTTTTATTGTGGAAGCACAGTTGCGCTATTTTTATTGTGGAAGCACAGTTGCGCTATTTTTATTGTGGAAGCACAGTTGCGCTATTTTTATTGTGGAAGCACAGTTGCGCTATTTTTATTGTGGAAGCACAGTTGCGCTATTTTTATTGTGGAAGCACAGTTGCGCTATTTTTATTGTGGAAGCACAGTTGCGCTATTTTTATTGTGGAAGCACAGTTGCGCTATTTTTATTGTGGAAGCACAGTTGCGCTATTTTTATTGTGGAAGCACAGTTGCGCTATTTTTATTGTGGAAGCACAGTTGCGCTATTTTTATTGTGGAAGCACAGTTGCGCTATTTTTATTGTGGAAGCACAGTTGCGCTATTTTTATTGTGGAAGCACAGTTGCGCTATTTTTATTGTGGAAGCACAGTTGCGCTATTTTTATTGTGGAAGCACAGTTGCGCTATTTTTATTGTGGAAGCACAGTTGCGCTATTTTTATTGTGGAAGCACAGTTGCGCTATTTTTATTGTGGAAGCACAGTTGCGCTATTTTTATTGTGGAAGCACAGTTGCGCTATTTTTATTGTGGAAGCACAGTTGCGCTATTTTTATTGTGGAAGCACAGTTGCGCTATTTTTATTGTGGAAGCACAGTTGCGCTATTTTTATTGTGGAAGCACAGTTGCGCTATTTTTATTGTGGAAGCACAGTTGCGCTATTTTTATTGTGGAAGCACAGTTGCGCTATTTTTATTGTGGAAGCACAGTTGCGCTATTTTTATTGTGGAAGCACAGTTGCGCTATTTTTATTGTGGAAGCACAGTTGCGCTATTTTTATTGTGGAAGCACAGTTGCGCTATTTTTATTGTGGAAGCACAGTTGCGCTATTTTTATTGTGGAAGCACAGTTGCATTTGCGTTATTTTATTGTGGATGCACAGTCGCGCTATTTTTATTGTGGATGCAGAGTTGCGTTATTTTTATTGTGGATGCACAGTTGCGTTATTTTATTGTGGATGCACAGTTGCGTTATTTTTATTGTGGAAGCACAGTTGGGTTTGCGTTGTTTTTATTGTGGAAGCACAGTTGGGTTATTTGCCTTTGCTCACGTGGATTGCTGATCTGATACGAGTAGTTTGAGTTTCTTACGGTGTGATCTAAACACCATGTGCTGTGTTGACAAGTAACTCATAAATCAACATAAGTAACTCATAAAAATTTATTTACTCACCGAAGCCCATTTACTCTCAGCGAGGGTTAATTTGAGTCCTGTTTGAGAGACTGACATCGTAAAGAACCTCAAACCATCAGAAAACCATCAGTTTGCTGTCACTGTGGAGAGTGTGTTAGGATCCATCTGGAGAATCTGCAGGATGGTAATCATTTAAAACAATAAAGAGGCATGATAATAATGTCATTTAGTTCATGTTAATCCTGCCCTGATGAAGCTCTTTCACAGACACAATTATTTTCCCTTTATTTGTATAGCGCTTTATACAATACTGATTGTGTCAAAGCAGCTTTACAGTGTCAAACAGGAGAATAGTTTGTCAATAATGCAAGAAGACAAAAACAAAGAGTCATTTTTCCAGCTAAAGTCAGTTGATTGATGATTCAGTTCAGCTCTCTTCCATTAGTGTCTGTGCGATCAGTCAAGCGTCCCCAACTAAACAAGCCAAAGGCGACAGTGTCAAGGGTCCAAAACTCCAATAATAATAATAAGAATAATAACTGAACTATAACACATGCTGCTCTTGAGACCTTTACGTCCTCTTGGTTCTTCTGATCTTTATGTTTGTGTGTTGTTCATGAGTCTCTGTTTTTCACACAACGTTAAGAGCCGGAACGATCAATGGAAATGATTTAGTCTGGCTGGAAATATGTAAAATCTCACACAGCACTAAATGTTACCTTGAACTTTTCTATGTCTCTTGTATTTGTTTCTAAACGTTAGAGAGGGTTACGCAAGCATCTGCTCTCTGCTGTATTTAGTGTCCCGTTTAAATGGCGGTTTGAAACACAGCGACCGCAGAGGCTCATGGGTTTTGGCTCTGCAAACGTCACATTAGTGTGGAGATTGACGGCTTGTTTGTGTGTGTGTGAGTTATATTGAATGTGATTATAGGGCCGTGTGCTGAAGAAAGAGAGAGAAACACATCTGTAAATCTTCTCAAAAGATCTCTGTTTGAGCGATATTACAAACAATAAAATCTCAGTTACTTGAGAATGTTTAACTGATTCAAGATTGATCTGATTTCATTGTTAATGTTTAACTAATCAACTTGTAAAATGTAACTATAACATGATTCATGTAACATTCTTGTAATGAACCATCTGGTTAAAGAAAGTTCTGTTTCAAGTGCAGACAAACTCACTTGTTAAATATCTTTGCAGAGCAGATGCATGAAATATGAAGGCGAATATTGTCTTAAACATATGTTATATGTTCAGAAATAATATAAAATGCTAAATATTTCTCAGCCAAAATGTAGACATTCAGTTTTAGAGACGATTCAAACTCTTCCTGACTGTCAGTATAACAGCAGCAGCAGCGATTATTAACAGTGAATGAAAACAGCAGCAGCTTTCAGTCTGTCAGCATCATGCACGCGTCAGATATCAGTCAGATATCAGACATACAGTAGTAGTTCTGCACTGCTTTCTGCTTTTCCTTTGCTTTTCTATGTAAACATGCGCCTGATGGGCGTGTTTCACCGCTGCATCGCGTGGTCTCGCTCATGAAACGGTGTCTAAAAACATGGCGCTGGAGTTAAAGAAGCTCAGCTGGCGTTTCATAAGCTTGCGTCTGTTGTTTTTCAGCACAAATGCATTCTGTGTGAACATCAGGACTAGCGATACGTTCTGCGTTACGCTCCTTTGTGTAGCGCGACACACGTCATCAGCTGCGCATGATCTCTTAGCATTAGCATACTATCAACGTGTCTAATTGTAATGTTTACTAATAATTTAATTTGAAACCGCGATTCCTTGATTTAAAAAAATTCAATTGTAGCAAAAATTCGAATTGATCAATAAAATCTGAAAGCTCGCCCAGCACTGCGTCACAGTCACACGGCCTCGGTAGTGTTGTCAAAAGTACCAATGTTGGTACCAGACGGTACTGAAATGTAAAAAATGTGACGATGCCAGCATTTCCCCCTGGCATTCTGAGCGCTCCATCTATGAGCAGATATATTAGGGATCTGCTGATAGACGCGATCATTGTAGCCAATCACAGACATATCTGTTGAGCAGGAGAACACAATGTCGGTACTGAAATGTAAAAAATGTGACGATGCCAGCATTTCCCCCTGGCATTCTGAGCGCTCATCTATGAGCAGATATATTAGGGATCCGCTGATAGACGCGATCATTGTAGCCAATCACAGACATATCTGTTGAGCAGGAGAACACAATGGCCAATCAGAGCTGTTTAAGAATCCGCTCAAAATGCTACGGGAAATGCTGGTATCGTCAGGTATCGACATCGGTACTTCTGGCAGCACTAGGCCTCAGAAACACTGACAGTGATGCGACTGTGTCTTTTCTCATTCACCGTCTCCTTTTCTGTCCTGATGTCTCTGCGCAGTTTCTCTCTGCAAGTCTACACTAGCTAAATACTTTCATTCATTTCTCTCTCTGTGTCTCTGTGCCTTATGGGCATGCAGGTGTGCCCGCGTATCTCTCTATCCCGCAGTCATTCTCTCTCTATCATCTCTCTCTCTCTTGCTCTTGTTGACTATTAGCTGTCGTTCAGTGTAGCTTTAGGTCACATATAATCATCATTTACACACAGTGTGTTTGTGTGGCTTTGGGTGATCCCTGAGTTAAAGCCGTCATGACACATTGTTTGTAACCCATCTTGACATTTCAGAGTGGAAAAGGATAGTCATATATCCTCCAAAAATGTCTTACCTACAGCATTGATTGGGCAGGTGGTTTAAAAACAGAGAGACTGCTAAAAAGAAAAGTTATTTCAGAGGAAGAGCAAGTTATTTTGATGAAATATTTTTAATAATGACGGTACTGATAAATCATTCACAATGAGCAGGATGATGTATTCAGTAAATATAGGGTACATTTTGATTTCATGTTGACTTTCAAGTTAAAAAGGAATGCACCTAACACAATGCTGACCCCACACTGACCCTAACATTGACCCTAACATTGACCCTCTCTAACCCTCAAGGCAGATTCACACTGAACCTTCTGGCTCATTTTTGTCTTGACAGGTTGTTCAGAATGAAGTAATGTGTCCATCTGAAATGCTTCACACTGAAGGCTGAGTGAAAATTCACATTACAACGAAATGAAGTTTATTTCTGTATTATATGACTCTTTCGAACTCTTGATGTGATTCATAGTTTAAGCTATATATGAAACAATCTGCTGTACTGACTGACTGAATGAGCTTCGTTTTGGACAAATAAAGGAAAAATTTATATATTTAGAAACTAAAGTCAAGAAATTCGAAATTTGACATTAAGTTTCATAACCAAAAAATATCATAATGAAATGAAGCGAGATTAATCACAGCACACATTAAAATCATACTGTATATATTTAGAAACTAAAGTCAAGAAATTCGAAATTTGACATTAAGTTTCATAACCAAAAAATATAATCATGAAATGAAGCGAGATTAATCACAGCACACATTAAAATCATACTGAAGTATTATACATGCGAATTAATAGCTGCTAATGTTATTTGTTACATTTAAACATTGACTGTTATCTGATCGTTATTTAACTTTTATCCTCCTGATCATTTATGTACGCATCATGTAGTCAATTGTAGCCAGTTACATTAGGTTCTGGCTAAATGTGAATGAGACATTAACAAAACAAACATTTTGTATTCATGTTTTCAGGTGTATTGTGAAGGCCGTTCACTTCAAGAACAATAGCTATAACCATAAAGTTTTAATAAGCACTTTCAGAGTGATTGTTTTCCAGCTGATGAATGATAAACACATTGACAGCCAATCACAATCCATCCTGCTTTAAAGAGCTCGAGCATTTAAAGACAGAGGACAAAACTGCAGCTCTTACAATAAACACAACGTTATCGTCTGCTGATGTGAATGCTGTTATAGTTTATCATTATAGTTATTGTTCTTGGTGTGAATAACCCTTAATGCTGTCTCCACCCTGAGCCCTGATTTACCCTGACCTCTGACCTTCACTCTGACATAGCAGAATGTGTGCTTTCACTCGTTTGTGCAAACAGCTTGACTTTCATTTCACACACACACCACAAGGCTGTCACAGACTTCTGAAAGCACACGTTCCTAATGTGTATAGACTTGACCAAGCTTGGCATTATGGGTAAAAGAAAAGCCAGGCATCTGAGAGTGAAAGACAAATTCAGAGAGTTTAAGCTGAACGTGTTACAGCAGGAACAGCAGAACACATGCATGACGTCACGCTACACTCAGTTCTACACGCTATTCTATACACTGTTCTCTCCTGTGTTTTAATGCTGTTTTGTTGCTCTTGATTTGAATGTTTCTCTGCAGGTTAGAGCGTCTTTCATCCGGTTCAGAGGCAGCTCAGGCTCGTCAGGAGGGAATCAGACACATTAGTGTTGTAGTTGAAACATCTGACAGTCCAAAACTGAAATAAAGACATTCATCAGCACTCTGAGTGTTTGTGTCATTCATCCTTTGACCTGAGCGTTGTTCAGACCGCAGCCCTCGTGCTAACATTTATTCTGTCATAGGCACCGATCTGCTGCTGTCGTTTCATCCGGTGTTTGCTCTGTCTGTCTGTCTCTTTAGTGGACGTGTTCACATGTAGAACTCCAGCCGTTGCCGATATCGTGATTCTGGTGGATGGATCGTGGAGCATCGGCCGAATTAATTTCCGTTTGGTGCGGATGTTTCTGGAAAGTCTCGTCAGGGCCTTCGCGGTTGGATCTGAACACACACGTGTTGGTGCGTCTGCAGTCTCGTTTGTATGTTTGTTTCTTGTGTGTTTGCGCTGTGTGTTAGTGTGTTAATAGTGTGTGTGTGTTCAGGTTTGGCGCAGTACAGCGGGGATCCGCGGATTGAGTGGCATCTGAACACTCACAGCACTAAAGAGGCTGTCATCGACGCCGTGAAGACTCTGCCTTATAAAGGAGGAAACACACTCACAGGTTCATACACATTCACACACACACACACACACACACACTCTCTCTCTCTCTCTCTCTCTTTTGTCCCCAAAATATGGTTAAGTAGGTACACACACACTTACACTCACAAACTCACACTTATACATGCATTCACTCTCACACAAACTCACTCTCATACACACACTCACTCAAATTCACACTCACACAAACTCACACTCATACACGCACTCACACAAACTCACTCATACACACATTCACTCTCACACAAACTCACACTCATACACGCACTCACACAAACTCACTCATACACACATTCACTCTCACACAAACTCACACTCATACACACACTCACAAACTCACACTCATTCACGCACTCACACAAATTCACACTAATACACACACTCACACAAACTCACACTCATACACACATTCACTCTCACACAAACACACTCATAAACACACTCATTCAAATTCACACTCACACAAACTCACACTTATACACACTCACAAACTCATACACACACTCAAATTCACACTCACACAAACTCACACTCATACACGCTCTCACACTCATACACGCTCTCACACTCATACACAAACTCACACTCATACACAAACACAAACTCACACTCATACACACACTCTCTCATACACACATTCACTCTCACACACACATTCACTCTCACACAAACTCACACTCATACACACACTCATTCAAATTCACACTCACACAAACTCACATTCATACACACACTCACACAAACTCACACTCATACACGCACTCACTCAAATTCACACTCACACAAACTCACATTCATACACACACTCACACAAACTCACACTCATACACGCACTCACTCAAATTCACACTCACACAAACTCACACAAACTCACACTCATACACGCACGCACTCACACAAACTCACACACACTCTCACACTCCCACAAACTCACACTCACACAAACTCACACTCATATACACACTCACACAAACTTACACTCACACACGCTGTCCCACTCACACAAACTCAGTCATACACGCACTCACTCACACAAACTCACACTCGTACACACACTCATTCAAACTCACACTCATACACGCACTCACACAAACTCACACTCATACACGCACTCACACAAACTCACACGCAAACTCACACTTATACTTGCACTCATACACACATTCACTCTCACACAAACTCACACTCATACACAAACTCACACTCACACAAACTTACACTCACACACGCTGTCCCACTCACACAAACTCACACACTCATACACCAAACTCACACTTATACTTGCACTCACACAAACTCACACTCATACACACATTCACTCTCATCACTCTCACCACTCACACACGCTGTCCCACTCACACAAACTCACA